CCAGGACCACCACATTCTTGCCCATGTCAGATACGTGCGTTGGGTGGACAGTCCGGGAGTTAGACTATGGATCCAATTCCCAGGTTGCCCCAGAGGTGCTGCCACCATAGAGTCAAAGTGCCACCTCACCAGGGAATGGCACAACAGTCACTCAAAATGTCACGATGAAACCCTCTGGCTGATGGTGCAGCCTGCAGGAGTGGTGAGACAGTTTGCAGAAAGGAGTCTCATTGCTCTGCCTCTCTGTACCAACATCGATTTCCAAATAGAGCTGCACTTTAAGAATGAAATTAAACTCAGCCAGGCATGGTGGTGCACCCCTGCCTCCCAAGCACTCAGGAGGCTGAGGTAGGAAGATCAATGAGTTTGAGGACAGTCTGGGCTACAAAGTGAGTTCAAGGCTGGCCTGAACTGCATGGTGAAAACCTGTCTCAAAAAGATAAATAAATAAGCAAATGGAATATACCCTGGAGGTTGCAGTCACACCCCACCCTGACCCAAGGGGAGTGCCAAGTGAACAGTGCTACCCTCATGTTAGCTAGCAGCAATGTAGTTAGCGTCATCCGGAAAGGCTGTGCTTTTAAGAAGCTCTACAAGCCCAGACAGAAGGTACACACCTGAAATCCCAGCATTCTAGGAAGCTGATGAAGGAGGATTTCAAATTTAAGCCCAATATGGGCAACATAGTAACTACCTCAAAATAAAATAAGAAGGGCTGTGACTATATCCTAGTGCAAAGGCACTGGGTTCATTCCCCAGTAAACTAAAAAAGATGAGGCTCTTTGTAAACCTGGCACTGGCATGCTCCTTTCCCAGGGTGGAGGAGGGCAAAGCTGGCACAAGCACCATTCTGCTGCTGCCACAGTGGATCACACTTACGTGACCCTAGAGGACTCACCTCAGTGGGTACAGATTCTGCAGGCACCTTGGCTACAGATGTGGAGAGGGCCCGTAAAAGCCCGCCAAATCTAAGCAGGCCAGACAGGTTATCTCTTTGGAAAGCCAGGGACAGCAGAGCAGAGACTGACCTGCCTGAGTAAGCAGCCCCGGGCACTGGATCACTCCACGGCTGGGTGGCACATGCCATAGCAAGGGCAGAAGTGGCAACCTTTAAATGGCAGCTGGGACAATTAGGAACAAGGAGAAGTGGAGGTGACACAGCGGGAAGCAAGCGACACCCACTGACCCTGGGCAGTCAGGTGAGTACCGCAGGTGACCTTGATGCAATGCTGGGAAACTCAGTACGAAGGCATCTGTGGAGGCTGCTGCACATTCTGGGGACTTAAATCTGTTCCTGCCTCCCTCACTTCAGCTCAGCTCTGAACTTCTTAATGGGGGTCAAGCTCTGGGTTTGGGGGTACTCTGGGATTCCGTTTCTTGGTTGTAGTAATGATTACATATGGATCCCCTTATTCCAAAGATACGCTGGGGCAAGGTCACCTGGCAAGACCACATGACTGAAAAACCACAGCACTCTGTTATGTTAGGCGAATTCTCTAGGAGCCTCCATACGTTTAAGGTAGGCCGAGTTCCCACTTCCAGATGGCTCTGTCTTCCCCACAGCTGCTTGGATTTTCTCCTGTGCACAGAGGTCCCATTTCCAGTTGGTGGCAGGTGGCTGGAGGCGTCTTACACCTTGGATTTCAGGTGTTCCCCAAAGGCCCGTGAACTAAAGGCCGTATTGCCTGGGTGGGTGCATGGGCCTGTCCCATTACCCCAGCTACTTGGGGGGCTGAAGCAACAGCTAGAGCCCAGGGGTTTGAAGCTAGCCTGGTAACACTGCAGGCCCCACCTCAAAACCAAACCAAACTGAAGCCCCCATGCTCTGAGCACTCACCACAACCCTTTTCTCTTCGTATGTCATTTACCTCCAGTATTTGTGACAATGACAGAAAACTGACTGAGACAGGGTGCATTCCCAAGACCTCCAGCTCATGGCGTTCCTCAGCCGGCCTGGTGAGCTGCTCTGCTCCTAATGCTGCTCTGTGTGCATGTATATGTGTGTGTGTGTGTATTCGTGCATGCACGTAAGGGTAGCATTTTGGAAACAGAAGTATAATTCTGGCAACTGAATCTACTAGATAACCCAGGTATATGACTCTTGCAGTAATCCTATTTGTTTTCTCTTGTATTTCAATTTTAGAAGGAAGTATTCATGTAAGGAAGAAATGAGGAACCTAAAAGCATCGCTAAGATGGGAATACAGATGATGGCAGCAGGAAGCAAAAACCTACATCATCACACTTGCTCAGAATAAGAACTGCCTTCATCAGCATCCATTTATATTCTTCATATATGTTCTTTGTTTAGGAGTTATGTTAGAAATAAAGTTTATATCACATTTTTCAATTCGAGAAATTAAGCCAGCAATAGTGGCACATGCCTGTAATCCCAGCAGTCAGGAGGCTGAGGCAGGACAATCATCATGAGTTCAAGGCCAGGCTGAAATGAACTGCATAGTGAGACCCTGTCTCAAAAAAAAATCCAAAAAATAAATTAAAATAAAATGTAGAGGAATTAAACTACTATGCATGGTAGGAAAAGCTAAAGAGTAAGGAACGAGGGATGCAAGTTAAAGAAATGCTGTGGGAACATGCTACAAGTTCAGCACACCAAAAATAGAGCCAGCTAAGAGGTTATCTTCACAAAGATGAAGGGTTGCACAAGCAGCATAAAGATCTGGAATCCAAAGCCACGAAGTTCAAGACACCCAGCAACTCAGCTCTCCCTTCCATTTTCTTGAGATCTCAGGGCACAGCCTCACGGGGTGTCCCCCCGAGGTCAGGCACAGACCTGCACAGCTGCAGCTAAGCTGTCGGGCTGCAGGGCTGTGAATGACTCTGAGCTCCAAGTGCAGGCTGCGCTGGCCCACAGGAGCCACTGCTCACCTGGCTGGGGCCACTGTCCACCAGCAGCAGGTGTCCCTCACAGGCCTATAAATTGGGGACTGTGTCTCTTTAACATTCAGGGTTACTTAAAGCGTCCTTGTCCAAGGAAGGTTTGGTTTGCTTTTGTTTGTGATCCTCCTGCCTCAGCCTCCTGAATAGCTAAGACAACAGACACACACCACTGTGCCCAGCTTAGGGAAATTGTTTTAATTTTCCTTCTTGAAACATCTGCTTTACAAATCTCTACAGGCTAGGCAGAGTAAAGCCTTCAGCCTCACAGACGGGACGCTGAACTGCCAAGAAAGGCAGACTCTCCTCTGAACACTGTGAAGATTTCTGAGCAGGGCTGTGGGTTTGAAGGTGACTCTGCTGACTATACTGTGGGGAAAGGATGCTGCTGTGTGCATGTTTCCAACCTGGAAGATTTTACAGTGTATTGTTACTACCAGGTGGCTGTGCTCAGAAATTAGGTCTGGGAAATATTTGGCAAGAACAACAAAGTACTTTTATTTAAAGTCAGACTCCCAGAGACTCAAGGAAAGCAATAGGAGGGCAGAGGAGTGGCCCGTGCGCAGAACTCACCTGTGCGGGCTCAGCCAGGGAGGCACCCCGGGCAGCTTGGCAGGGCGCTGATGACCATGAAGGCATCAAACTGCTCTCACAGGAAGAGCGATGGTGTCCACTTTCCTCAAGAATGTCCTGGCCTTAACCATCAGGCTCCCATGTGCTTAAAGCACTGATTCTCCCTTTGACAAAGATGTGGTCAGACAGGAGGGGCTGCTCTCAGAACCACCTGCTGGGACTGTTCAGCTATAGTCTCTTCTCCAGAGGAGGACAGAGTTGTGTATCCTACCAGGGTGACCGGGAGAGAGTGCTACCTTCTAGGCCCTGCCCCCAACCTCAAGTCAAGACACAAATCCAGTGCTGGCCACAGGACAGAGCGGGTCTTACTCAAGAGTGGCAGCCCCAAACACACCACATGCAGGGTGGACATGACATGACATCTTGCTGGAGGGTGCGAGGAGGTAGGGGGAGTGAGAACAAGTCTAAAAAAGAAAGGCGCAGCACCCAGGTCCTCATTCTGGACTTTAACATCCCTTGAGGGCACAGAGGCGCTTGCAGATGCACATGTGAACACACACAGGAAGTGTTCTGCCATGCACACAACCCCGCACTGTCCAAGAAGACGATGGACCCAGGAACTTGCTGCTCTGGGACCCAGTTCTCGGCTTAGTCTTCACCCCACCTGTCCACACTCCACACATTGTGTGTTTCTTCCAGGGTTCCAAAAACAGTCTTTACCACCCCAGTTTCCAACACTCCAAGGGAAGCACCCCTCTTCAGCACCAGGAGACAGGCACTACCTTCCTCCAAGAGCCTCCAAAACAGTACCCCCAAAAGCATAATCATTTATATTAGAGTATGGATGAGAAGCATGCAGGCGCCATGCCTTAAATTCTTCCTGGGATCCAAATGCTCCAGGGAGGGGTTTTGTTGTTGCTATTTGTGTTAACCCCCTGGATCACAGACGGGCCTGGACCACCCACAGATGTGCCTGTCTCTCTGCTTACTGCAAATGTCTGCTTTCTGATCTGCCAGCTCAGGACAGCAAGAGCCTGAGGCACGAGCCCAAGGCATGAGTCTGCACAGCCCAGAGCATCCTGAGCCTCAGGAAGGATGGACAGGAAGCGCCTGGAAGGCCTGGGTAGCCTCGGTCAGCTAACAGTGATGAAGACATTTTCCTTCCATTTAGAAAGCTACTGGAAGAATCCCAGGACCCCAGGATGTAACACATATCAATGTGGTTCTCAGGCTGTCACCTTCCCAGACAGTGAGCATCACACCAGTGGGAACATGCACCCCGAGCCAAACTCGAGGGGGCTCCAAGATGGGTGCATGGGTTCGACTTGCTGACAATGGGCCCATCTCAAAGCACGATGACTCTAGTCTCTTGTCAAACAGGGAGCTATGCATTGACATAATGCACAAGAATGCCACGAAGGCACCATCGCTTCAGTCTGGGAGACCCCTGCCCACAGGAGATCTGCTTCAGGCCCAGTCCTTCTCATTCTCAGGCCCGGCTGCTTAGGGCTGGAAAGGGATCACTCGGACTCCCAAAAAGATGACCAATTTATTTGGAAGCCATCACAAACTACCTCATCCAACAGCACATTTCAGCCTGCAGGCTTTTCATAACACAATTCAGAAGGCCACTGAATTGTGTTACTCTATGCAGGAAGGGCTTGAGGAGGGGAGAGGGGGTTAGAGAGTAAATGGGGAGGGGTGACAAATCCCTAGAACAGCATGTGTTACTTCGTATTTGTGTCACACTAGTCAATGAAAGGCTTGTAATAAATATATTTTTCAATATAAAGGAAAGTTCTTGTTGCCACAGAAAAGTAGAGGAAGCATAGGTTAAAAAGGAGGGGTGTTCTCTATAAAAACACACACTTTTGACAAGAGGATCCAGTACATGATCAGCTCTAACACACGCAAATGTTAGGATACGAAGAGCAAAGGAGGAATGCGGCACAATTAAACACAGAAGAGGGAAACCCAGAGCGAGAGTCCTGCCACTGAAAACAGTGCCGAGCAGGAACACGGAGAACAGGGAGGGCACACAGATAGGAGGCAGACAATGGCCTTTTCTCTTGGACCTCAGTCCCCACCTCTGTTCCAGCACAGGGGAACGGACCAAACTCCATAGGGGCCGGGAGCCCGCTGCCCTCCAGCCCCAAGGTGGAGTGGTCCCAGGGTGCTGGCCTTTCTCCCACCGGAGGATGCACCTTGCTCAGCTCCCCTGGCCCCACCTACCTGCTCTGTCACACTGAAGTCAGGGACGCTGTTGTCACTCTCCCCATGTTGCCAGAATTGGCCTTGAACTTGCAGCTCACGTGGTCCCCCGAGTCGGCTTCCCTTGGCTGGGAGAACTGGCTGTGCCACTGCACCTGGCTCTCCAAGTCCCTACAGATCCAAATGCGCCCTTTAGAACCACCCAGCGACAGTCCGTGTGCCCACAGTAACAGAGCCACCTCTCGGTGTGGTGTGGTGTGGTGTGGTGTGGAAAAGTTACGTTCTGACCGGGATGCGGGGCAGTTTGTCCACACCCTGACCAGCAGTCCAGGCTGCAGTAGAGCAAGAAGGAAATGCAGTGGGAGAGATGGTTCTGGGTGTGTTTCTGAAATGCGGGAGGTAAAACGCAACGGAGGCTCACTGCTGTCTCCTGGCTCTTCCTTTACTTCCTCAGGACAGAAACAGGACACTGGCAGGACAGAATGACAGAATGCGAAGAAGAGAGTCCCTCTGAAAGATTCACCCGACATTGGATCCCATCATGCGACATGGCAGCCGACAAGGAGTTCTGAGCCTCTAACAATGACGTGACTTCAGAGTAACAGAGGGCCGTGGCGTTGTGCCTGCTGGAACTGGGGAATCTCTGGAAGGAACCTCTGCCTTCTCAGCCCGTGAGAGCTGACCCTGCCCGAAGCCCCAGGGCAGGGCCATAAGCACTGTGGTTTTCTAAGGCCAACCTGGTACACGGCTTCGGCAACTACGGTCAGAGTTCTAAAAGGCGTGGGAGGACTTCTTCTGTAGAAGACAAGGTCGGGCACTGTTTTCCGGGGATGAGGGATGCCCAGGAACAGAACCCACCTTTCTTCAGTTGGGGGCTGCAGGGTGGCTACTCAGGCTCATCCTCCACTGTGGCCATGTCCACTCTGACTCGCTGAGCACAGGTGGATGCCATGAGGGGGCAGGGACAGGGGCCGTGCTACCTCACTAACATGCTTCTATGTGTGCAGATCTCTCCTTTGAGGTCCAGAAGGTGACAGAACTTCTCTGGACTTCTGGTGACACTCTTACTAGATCTTGATAGCCTTAATCGAGGACTACCATACCTTGAGGAGAGGCCAGGTGAGAGCAGACTGAGTCCCTGAAGGCCACCAGCCCAGAGACTGACTCTAAGGTCCAGCCAGGGAGAACGGAGCTGCACCTCTGTCCCCTCAGAGCTGCGCCTCAAGACTCGAAGCCCCTTCGGGGATCTCATCCCAGAGCTGCACGGAAGCAGGACACCTTCCCTGTCAGGACACTCTGCCAAGAGGGCTACTCACCACCATGTGATCTTGAACTCATAGATAGGGCGCTTGCAGTAGTAGTGGTTGACGAGGTGCTTGTCACACACCCCGATGCACTGGTGGTCCACAGTGAGGCCCTGGGCTGAGAGGTCCGTGACCAGGCAGTGCAACAGGTCATAAACGTCCGCCACGGCTTCCCAGGGCCCAAAAGACACATCCACCTCACAGTGGTGCTCAAAGAGCTGCCCATCACTCTCACTCCGTTCAAAGCGCAGGGAGTTGAGGAGGGGACACTCGTAGGGGGTGATGGGCATCTCTTCTTTGAAAACGCAGACCTTGAGCTTGGCAAAGCGGGCCTTCCGCTGGACTGCACGCAGCCTCGCGATCTCTACAATCCGCTCCAGGTGGTCTACAGGGTGGACACAGCATGTCAGTGATGGTGGCCTGGGAGGGTAGTGGGGGGCCACCTTGGGAGCTAGGGACAGAGGCTGCAGGGGAAGAGACAGACTTGATAGGGACTCCTGGACCATTCGTCTTCCTCCATAGCAGGTAAGGACTGTCCTTTTGAAACCCAACAGCAAGGCAGGCCCGCCCTAACTGGAGCCTTCCCAGTGTACCTGCAGGGCATGGCCAGCCTCTCCCATCAGCTCAGGGGCATGAAGGATGCCAGGATCCTCTGCTCCAGTGGAGACCCCGGCACCAACACAGCACTCAGTACCTTCTCCCCACCCCGCTGTCCATCAGGGTCGCAGCGCTCACCTTTGTAATAGGGCATGAGTCCCAGGAATGCCTGGCGCACCTTCTCGCCCTTCAGTGGCTGCATGTTCTCCAGCTGCTCCAGCAGGGGCCCAATAGCATAGTACTGAGCCTCCTTGTGCACCGCTCGTACCCGCTCCCGGGGCGGCAGATCCCCCGAGCGCAGGAAGTTCAGCACGTCTCTGTGGGAGGAGAAGAGGCTCAGGGACCTGGGAAGGTGCCACAAAGGCTCAGAACACAGCATCTGGGCCTGACTGCCAGCTAAGGGAACCTGGTCTCTCACTGCAAAACTAGAACTGATAAACTCCCTATAGTATTAGGAGGGAACTAAGTGAATGTATGAAAAGTGCTCAGAAAGCTTCTGGCACAAAGTAAGCCCTCAGTGAGAGTTATTAGTTGCTACTGTCAGTATCAGTTTAAGTATATTAGGTATTATTAGGTACACATAACTATAATGGAAAGATATGGCATCTAACTCCTTAATATACATAGTTTTAAAATCAGAAGCTATTATTTAAAAAGTTTAAAAAGTTATAATTATCTGGGTGTGGTGGCACACACCTGTAATCCTAGCATTCTGGGAGGCTGAAGCATGAAGATCAAAAGTTCAAGCCCAGCCAGGGCAATTTAGCAAGACCCTGACTAAAAGTTTAAAATGATACTGGGCGTGGTGGTACACACCTGCAATCCCAGCACTCAGGAGGCTGAGGTGGGAGGACTGCCTGGAGTTCGAGGCCAGCCTGGGCTACACAGTGACTTCAAGGACAGCCTGAACTACATGTCTCAAACAACCAAACCAAAACAAACAATAAAATGAAAAAAAGATAGGGATGTAGTTCAGTGTGAAGGCCCTGGTTCAATCCCAAGTACGAGTCTAAAAAATAAAAAGCCATGAATTATAAAATATAATTGCTATTCAATAAATCTGCAAATATTTTTTTATTTTTATTTTTATTTTTTGGCCCCAGTGGTGCCAGGGATTGAACTGAACACCTTCACAATGAGGCATATCTCCAATCCCCCATTTCTCATTTTTTTGGAAACAAGGTGTCACTAAATCACCTAGACCATGTCAAGCTTGCTACTCTCTTGCTTCAGCCTTCCAGGATGTTGGGGTTACCAGTGTATGCCACCATGCCAAGACTTTTTTCGCTTTTTCTTGTGCTGGGGATTAAATCCAGGGTCCTTTGTATGTTAGGCAAGTGTTCAACCATTGAGCTATGTCCCCAGCTGAAATGTACAAACCTTAATTACACAGTTCAGTTACTGTCAAAAGCAGGAATATACTCAGTCACGCCACCACCCAGAGCAAGACAGAAAACATTTCCAACTCCTTGAGCTCTCCTGAGGCCCCTTCTAGCCAGCCTCTACAGAGGCAATCACTGTTGTCTTCCAGGGACAAAGATAGTTCTGCAATTTTTTTCTTTTTTTCTTTTTGAGACAGGGTCTCACTCTGCAGTTTAAGCTGGCCTTGGGCTCACTTTGGAGCCCAGGCTGGTCTCGAACTTGCAAACAATTCTCCTGCCTCAGCCTCCCAAGTGCTGGGATTTTAGGAGTGCGCCACCACACCCGGCTTTCTGCATTTTTTTCAAATTCATAGAATCATAACTATATTATTTTGTACCTGGCTCTTTCTCTCAATGTGCAAGAAGCTTGCTTCTGTTTACTATTTATTTATCATATAGGCAGTATGTCAAGGAGTATATGTATTATATTTACCCATTCTCTCAACGGACATTTGGATTGCTTCTGTCTTTTGGCTACTATGGCTAAAACTGTGACAAACATTTTTGTGAAGACCTTTGGTGGATCCAAGCACCCATTCTCAGGGAGATGTCAGGAATAGAATTCATTCAGTCCCAGAAGAAATGCATGCTTAACAAAGCAGTTGCATTATTTCGCATTCCCACCAATACTGTACAATAATTCTAGCCATTCCACATTCTCACTCTTAGTATTACTCTGTACTAATGTGGAGAAGACAAAATGTCTAATTCTTACGCCTGAACTACCCAGCTCCCAGCCTGATGGAATCACATACAAAGCTCATGTTTAAGCTCATGTTTAAATTAAAAACTTATTATGATAAAAGACACACTGCCAAGAGGGATTAAGGATCCAAAGACAGGAGGAGTATTTCAGTATTTGAATGTGTCTCTTTCTTTAACTTTTTTTTTTCCTTCAGTTTTGGTTTTTTGTTGTTGTTGTTTTTTTGGGGTTTTTTTTTTGTCTTTTTCATTTTTATCAGTACCAGGGATCGAACTCAAAACTGCCTGCTTGCAAGGCAGGTGCGTATGCCGCTGAGCTAAATCCCCAGCCCCTTCAATGTGTCTCTTACTGTTAGAAATTTTTAAACATTCACTGCACATTCTGACCACACTGTGCTGGTCAACTGCAGTTTCCACCGAATAAAAACACGATGATCCTTCCTCACCCTCCTTATTTGTGGGCCTGGCACCAAGTGACTCTGGTTCCTCCCAAAGGTGGCTGTTCTGAATCAATTCTGGGTATGGAGGCAGCCACAGCAGTACAACTTAGACACAAAAGAAGACATCCAGACCAGCTTTAGAAAGTAGCACCAACAGCAAAATGAGTGTGTTTGCTGGGGGATTACAGCAACATGTCTCATTGTACTGAATTCAAATTTTTGTATATTCACTCTATTTTTTTTAATCACACTGCATGTGTTCTTCAAATGAAAGTTCGGTTCTGGTTCTGATTGTCTAGTCATTGCTAAAAGTAATCAGATTCCCCACCAGTGACTAAATCCTACAATCAAGCTTTTACTCCACAATTAGTCAGTAGCCCTAACGCACTCCCAGCTGGCCCTGAGTAGTAACCTGTATCAGCCACTGCACATGCATTAGTCCATGGATCCTCCTAATGACACCAAAGGGTGGGTGCTCTCTTACTTCCTCAGGATAATGGAGACCCACAAAGCTCAGATCCAGACACTGTGGACTCTGAGATCAGGGCTCAGAGGCCCAGTCTTCAGCAGAGGCACCCCACACAAGTGGAGGGTGCTGACCACCAGGGACTACCACACCCAGAGGCCCACAGGGTGGGTGCTGGGGCACATGAGCTGCGACAGAGGCAAACGCACCGCTCCAAGTGCCCTGGATTCCCCGTCAACTGAATCTGCTGCTGCTGAAGCCTTGACTACTGGAGTCCAGCAGCCCAGTGAGCCTGGCAGCCTTGACTGTAGCCACAGCCTTACCCAGCCTGTCACATTAGTCCTCATCCAGCCCTGCTCCCTCACCCCACAGCACCTTCTGAAATGAGTATTCTGAGCCCTTCTGCAAACCTTCCTGGGCTCTGAAAAACAAAACCCTGAGGCAAGGCCCTGCTCAGGGTGCTATGGGAGCTGCCAGCTGGGGCCAGTGCTTTCTGCCCACAAAAAGGCTGTAAACAAAGTCATTTTTGGTTCCACAGTGATTTGACACTGTGTCCTCAAGCATGTGAGGCAGGCAACAGCCTACTGGGGAAAGCCAGCAGTTTCAAAGCAAATGATCTGGCCAGAGGACAAAACAACCCTGCACTCATGTGCCCGATCCTGCTTGGGATCAGCAGGGAGAGAAGAAGGCAGAGGGCGCCTGCATTCCAGACAGCTGGCTCGGGCAACAGGGCTGGCTCCATGCGCCAAGGGCAGCCTGAAGGAGCCTGGAACACACTGGCCAGGGCCAGGGCCAGGGCTCCTCCCAGTACCCAGATCCTCGCTGAGGCCCACAGGGCAGCTGTAAGGCTATCTCATGTCACAAAGAGGGAAACAGACCTAAAGTCTTTAACCTATTTTATGTATAAAGTTGTCAGGAGTCTCTTACTACTAAAGGCTGTTTTTTTTGAGGTTGTACTTTTATGTTTTAGTGCCTAAATTATTGTAGGAATAGAAAGTTCTTTATATTGCTCTGTAAAGACTTTTCTTGTCAAAATTAAGGGATAGCAACCCTCTGTCAGCCTTTCCTTCACCTTTCTTTTGGTTTTATTTATTATTTGTTTTTGCAGCACTGGGGACAAACTCCAGAGCCTTCTATCACTGAATTACAATGCCAGCCTTTTCATGTTTTGTTATTTTTGAGACAGGGAGTAAGTTGCAGAGGGAGGACTGAATTGGGATCCTCCTGCCTCAGCCTCCCAGGTGTGTGCCACCACACCGGGCTATTTGTTCTGTGGGCATCACTGCTGCACACGAGGTTGCCTGCTCCTCTCTGCATGGTGTCAGAAGGTCTTCTCCAGGAAGTCCTTTCAGACTCCCCTACCTCTAGGGTAATCACTCCTGCTCTGCTGCGAGTATATGGCTTCTTCCCAGCTCCCGGCTTGCACCGGATGGAAATTTCAGCACTACAACTGCATGTTACTAAAGTAAATTTATTGAATTTCATCATGTTCTGTTCTTGCTACCACAGGTATGGATGACACTGAAGTCTCAGACCCAACCCTGGGCTACTCACTGGCCACGATCAGGACACAGAGTGATACTGAGCGCAAGAAAGCAACATACCCGAAGTGTGTGCCGTCCCGGTCAATGAAGTAGCGGCCCTCGGCATCGGTGGGGATGTAATGTCGCCCACTGAACATCGCTGCCAGCATAGTGTCCTCGTACCGCCGCAGCGTGGACAGGCGGGTGGTGAAGTGAGCACCTCCGATGTTGAGCGGTACAACCTCGGGAAACTGGACGGGAACCAGGAGCTGCTCAGGCTGGAGGCAGGTGTGGGAGCAGGGCTGAAGAGCCATGACCGCTTTCTGCTTCTCCCTCCTCCCCGTACTCATCCATGGCCACCGCTGCTCTTCTCCCTGGCAGCTCTCGGGTCAGACCTCCCCATCCTAATCCACTTCCCAAACTTGGCCCAGTCCTTGTCCACACTTGCCTTTGCCCAAAATGCTCTTACTCTTGTTCCATCCGTGTGGCAGATGACACTGCCCTGTGTGGCAGTGCAGGTGGCAAGAGATATGCTGATCCAGCTGCAGGGCCCTTTTGAGTCACAACAAGGCCTTATCTGGCCAAGCAGCACCCAACGGTTGGAGAATCTTCTACTCAAGGTCCCATCTTCATGATGAGTTGACTCCACTGTCCTCTCCCTACCTGAAGTGCACCCCAACTCCTCCTGGATCTCACATATACCACACTCCCCTCTGTACAGCACCCCACATGCTGCACTGGTGATCTGTCTCCTGCCAGCCCATCTTGCTCCCCCCGCTTCCCAAGGGAAGGGAACATCAGGCGAGGTGGCCTGTGGGCCTCCAATCATCACTGGCTGCCCCTCACCTGTCCCTCTCCCACTTGATCAGCACAGTGAGAAGATTGGCTAAGGTTATGTGGGCAAAGGCTGGAGAGGATGGGAAAACAACGCTGAAGATTTGCGCCAGGAAGCTCCAGGTGCCCCTTGCATCGCTCAGGCTTTTTCTTTTTTTAATGTCTTTCTCTCCTGGTTTACAGCAACTGTATCTTAGAGAAACAAGTCCAAGGGCCAGGGGTTTAGCTTAGCAGCTTAAGTGCCTGCCCTGGCAAGCAGGAGGTCATGAGTTCACTTCCGCCCACACCAAAAAAAAAAAAAAAAAGAAAAAAAGGAAACCAGTTCAGTTCTTACTTCCTCCAGGTCCACTCATTTTTTCGCTCCAGTGCAATCTTTCAATGTTAACATCTCTCTAGCTCCAGGGAAAGTCTGTTTGTATTTATACAGACAGCCCATTCCCAATTTTCCTTGTAAAATAAAGCAGGCTACAAATATAGTAATGAAATTCAGCCATGGCCCAACTCACAGTAAAGACTAACATGCCCAGAATGAATGAATGAAACAGACAGGAGTCTGATCCCCGTGTGTGTGAACGGTCACCCTTGCACCAGGAGCTGACCGGGATAGAGTGAGAAAAGCTGCTGCTTTTTCTACGGGACATCTAAACTCATTCCCTAGACACCAAGGACTCAAAAGCTGTTTTGGAATAATAACATTTCCACACTTCTGGAGCTCTTCCAACCTTTCCAAGGAGATTTCACACCAGTCCACATGTTGGCTCCGTGTTAGAGAATGAGAAGATTGAAGCAGAAAGGAATAAAAGTGAGGACAGAGTTTTAGCTCAAAGGAGAGGCCTGGCCTACAGCCTACGAAGCTTGTCCCTTTTTTCCTCAAACCACATCTTTTGCCCAATGACAAGGCACAAAAAAATAGCACCACTGTGTCTCTATTGGCTGTTTTTACCAACTGCAGAACTGGGAAATTTTGCTTATTTTCACAAGCCTCCCTTGATGCTGGGAGTTTGGGGCGTCTAACTCAGAGCCTGGCACTGCCTGCCACCACTGGGGCTCTATCTCTTCTCCGTGTCACATGCGCCTCCTTGTCTCCTCCGACTGAAGCGTCCACTGTCTGTCCTCTTTTCTCCTGAGGGTCATTTCAGGTATTAATAAGATGGTGTCACACACTAAGGAAGATACCGTGCATCGCAGCTGGCTAGTGGAAAGCCATGGGTTGTCGTATCATTAGTGAGCCTGTTCCTTGTCACCATCGGAAAGTGGGGTTTGGGCAATCCACGCCTCCTTTTGTTATTTTTTTTTTTTTTTTTCTTTTGCAATACTGGAGACTGGACCCTGGATGCCTTGAGCCTGACTGGCTAATGCCTATCACAGGGCTACACCCTAGGGAAGGTCTCCTTTTGACATATACTACCATCATCTGGATAGGTAAGAATTACATATATTTACTTATGTATTTATACAGTTACCTTGATATACATATATACACACTCTCTCAGTACTGTATTGGGGATGGAACCCAGGACTGGGTGCATGCTAGGCTAACGCCCCGAAGCCGAATCCCCAGACAAGGCCTCCTTTCGGTCTCTCCTCTACTGGGGGTCTGGGTCGTTGGCTGCCGGTGGGGACGCACTGTGGTGGTGAGCCCGCCCTGCGGTTAGCACGCACCCGACGGGCAGACTGGGGCACACCAGGTGCCCGGAGCAGCAGAAGCTGAGGACCCCGCCCCCCTCCCGCATCCGGGTACCTGCTGGGGCAGCAGCGGCAGCGCGTCCCCCGCCTGCGTGGCTGTCGGGGTGGCTGGTTCCAGAAAGTCATCCTCGGCGTCGGAGCTAGACATGGCACCGTCCTGGCGACGGCTGTCTGGCTCCCGCCCCGTGACTACCACCATCCCTCTGGCTCTGGGCGGTGGGCGCGGCTTCGGCCGGCAGCGGGCGGGAGGGAGAGAGGGGCCGAGAGCCAGCGCGCAGCCGGAGGGCGGTGGCTCCCTCAGCGCGGACCCGCGCGTCTACCGCCGCTGTGCCGCCAGCCTGACCCGGCCACCTTCTGCTATTGGTCGAGGCCTCGTTGGCTCCGCCCTGATTGACAGGAAGCTCCGCCAGCCAGAGGCCGCGTGTTCTGCTGCAGCCAGAGTGGCCACTGAAAGCGGGAGCTGCTGTCCTGCCCTGCTCCGATTGGCCGTCTGGCAGGCGTGCCTCTCTCGGGCAGGTTGGGCGTGGCCTCGGCGGTGCTCCGAGGGTGACTCTAGGTTAGACGCCCTGGCAGCTTTCGCCGGAGGATGCGCTGGAGGACACAGGTCACCCACGCAGTGACAGCGCCTGGCAGCAACCAGGGCACCTGCAGCCTGGGTTTCCGGGGCTTCCTCGCTGACTCGCGCACGAATCTGAAAAAGGAAGCTCCAAACAGGAACGGCAGAATGTAATAATAACAGCGACTCCCGGCGGTGAGAGGCCCTCCCCGGGCACCAGGGCCCCCTCGGCCGCTGAGATGCCGACGGGCTCTTCCCAAAAAGCTCCCGGGTCGGTGCTGTGCTGGGTGATCCCCGTCTGGGGTTAGGTCATCTCGGGAGCCCTCTTAGGGATCAGGGTCTTTAATTGTTTTTTGTTTTTTCTCCAATTTTACATTTTGGTGTATTTAGTTTCTTTTTATTTATTTTTTATTTTTTGTCTTTTTCTTTTTTATTGGTACCAGGGATCGAACTCACGACTGCCTGCTTGCAAGGCAGGCGCTTATGCCGCTGAGCTAAATCCCCAGCCCCATATTTAGTTTCTTAAAAAATTATTTCAGGTCTATGGGCATGGTGGCATATGTCTATAATCTCAGCCCTCTAGAAGGCTGAGGTGGGGGGATCACAAGGTTGAGCCTGACCAAGGATATTAAACAATTTAAAAGACCTTGTCTCAAAAAATGAAAAAAGGAGTTGGGGATGTACAAAGACACTAGCTTCAATCCTCAATTCCACAAAAACGAGAATACAATCAAACCCAAAACGCCAAACAAACAAACAACATACACACAAAACAAAACCTCTGAGATAAGCAAAAGGCTAGGGCAACCTAGCTTTATGATAATCATCCTATGATTTTTAACATTTTTAAAAAATACTACTTTAAAAAAAACCAAAATACTTAATTTAATATTAAATATTTAATTTTTAAATTTTTATTTATTATTTTTGGTACTGGTGATTGAACTCAATACCTTGTGCTTGCCAGGCAAGCACTTAGGTCGCTGAGCTAAATCACTGGCTCTACCTTAATTTTTTTATTAGGGTATACTTGCTACATACAATAATTACATTACTTCTGAAACGTGTATATAACATACAGTATCTTGATCACAGAAACACTCTACCTTTTTGAAATCTAGCTACTCTTTGGTACATTCTTTGACCCATCACCTGTAATTCCTTAAGAGAAGTCATTCTAGAACTATTTCAAATAGCCATACACACACTATCCACAGTGCCTCTAACACATTCCTTATATGATTCTCACATTGTTGACAGGAAAGGAAACAGGCCTGGTCAGAGTCCCAGGCCCAGGCCCAGCTCCAGAGAGCCTGATTTGGTCCTTATGAGGCAAAGCTTTCTCAAAGACTCCCAGGTCACTCTGGATCTGCAAGTCCAGGAACTGCACCTCAGGTAGTGTTGCCCTAAGAAGTCCCCCTGGGACCTTGTTTTTTAGCCACCCTGGCATGCTGCAGCCTATCTCAAAATATAGAATGTTTTCCTCGTTCCATCCTTACAAAGATTCAGAGGTTTCAGAAATTCTAACCAGAAGTGGCTTAGATAACGTTAGCATCTTACCGCAATAGAAATCCAAACAAACCCAGGGTCGGTTCACTAACGAAATTACAAAATTACGTGGAGCAGCTTCCTTCCTTAGCCACTGGCTGCCCCTAGGAACCCTGGATGAACCAGGGGGTGACAAGGGAGACAGCTAAGGCAACACCCGACAGCAAGGTGAGTGGAGAAGGTGAGGAGGGGGTCCCAGAGGAAGAGGAAAAAGGCGGCATCTCTGTGCTTTCTCCTCTACCTGGCTGAAACATCTTGTTTTCCGTCTGTTTCTGCCTAGGATTTCCATCAGGAATGCAGTTTCCATTTGGTTTTGTTTAGACACTGTGGGGAAATCCAAGGTCAACAGGCTGGAAGGAGGGTGAGGAAGGGGTCAGAAGCAGGCTTTGTGGAAAGGCCCTGGCAGGGTGCTGGCAGTGACTCTCCACCACCCAACCCTCAAAGAAGGACTTCTGCCTAGCTCCTGGGGGCTGCAGGCAAGGGCTGGGGGGTCTAGGAGCAGGGGTGGGGGGACAGGCCCCTGAGGCCCTGCTCTGAGAATGTGGCCAGTCCAAGCCCTGGGTTTTACTTCATAAATTAGCCAAGCAAGTGGTCCTGTGGGCATTGCACTCTGAACTCGGACAACTGCATCATAGTCTCTCTGAAGGAAAAAAAACACCACTTGATTTTCTTTTAGAAAGGAAGTATGGGGTTGGTGATTTAGCTCAGCAGTTTGAGTGCTTGCCTGGTAAGCTCGAGGTTGTGAGTTCGATCCCTGGTACCAAAAGGAGAAAAAAAAAAGCTTGAATGCAGGCAGAGTACTGATTCAAAGTGCTGATTCAGTTCTAATTTTCTCTCCTACTCTGAATTGATGGAATACATATTTTACCAATAAAGGAAATTAAAACAGAAGTTGGCCATGATGACATTTGTCTATAATCCTAGCCCTCTGGCAGGCTGAGGCAGGAGGGTTCCAACTATGGGCCCAGCCTGAGCAATTTAACAAGTTAGTGAGACCCTGTATCCTGGATCAGTAGAGACTGAGGAGTTCACTGGTGACAAGGACAGCCTGAAGAAGAGGCTCAGAGTCGAGGGAACGTCTTAACCTGCTGTTATTCTCTGTTGCCCAGCTGCTCAGCCCTGACTCATCCTTTAATTTGATACACACACATGCAGCACTCCTTAGCTCCCAAGCTGAGCTGGCAAACCCAGTGTTAGCTGTTCTCAGCCACTCGGCCCTGAGCAGTCCAGATTTAATGGTGGAAGTACACAGTACAGGCCAGCTGGCAGTATTCACCTTGGTTAGATAAAATATTTACACTGAGGCATACTAGCTGTGCCTGCATTGGAGTTCCGCTGAGTTAGGACTTTCCTCCCCCTCCCCCTCCCCTCCCCCTCCCCCTCCCCTCCCCCTCCCCCTCTCTAGAAATCACTGTGCATCCTCACCCCAAACATAGACACACAAAGAATTATAGTTAATAGTTAAACCCATTGTTCCCCACTCAGCTCACGAAACACAACGTTAAGTCCACAGTCTGCACAGAGGTCTCTAGTGTCACCCTCTCCTTCCTGAGTATGCATGATTTCTATGCATGTTTTCCACTTAGTTGTGATAGATGACACAGGAAATGCAAAGCTATGCAGAGTTGGAAAGGTCCCTGCCCAGAGGACTGACACCACTGAGTGAGAAGTAAGGCATCCCAGTGGCCGTGCCACCCATGGCTCCTCCCTGATGAGACAGCCTCCGTCCCCTCAGAGGTACCTCTGTCCTCATGAGTCTGTCAGTCGTTTCTTTGTTTTCCAAGTGTAACCATGTGAGCATCCACCTCCAAGCAATGCAGTTTGATTTTCGCTGTCTGGGGATTTTAAGTGAATAGACTCATATGTCCATGCCACCGTTGATGAATAGTCATTGCCAAGTGTCAGGCTGTAACAGACAGTGCTCATTTTATGTCAGAGCATGTCACCCTCCATTTAAAGCTCTTTAAATTATAGCCTCTTTTTCACACACTTCTCCACCTTTCTCCTGTGTTGGAGATTAAACCCAGGGCCTGGCACAGGCTGAGCATGTGCTTTATCACTGAGCTACATACTCACACCAGGGAAATCTCTCTTCTGAAAGGAGGTAAAGAAAAACACTTGGACTGGATGTGGTGGTTCATGCCTGTAATCCAGGTACCTTGGAGACCGAGGCAAGAGGAGCGTCATGACTTCAAGGTCAGTTTAGACTATACGGTGAGTTTGAGGCCAACCTGGACCACATGGTGAGACCTTGTCTCCTGGTGTGAGTGGCACCCACCGCAGGGCAGGTAGCCTGAGGAGAATACACGGGACAGAAAGAGTGTTACTGCTTGTTGTTTGCTGCTTCCCCACTTGCTGCTCGGTGCTGCCTCCTGGCTGCCCGGCCGTGGACTGTTTCTCCTCTGCGATGCTGCCCTGCAGTAGAGCCAGCAATGAGCTAAAACCTCTACAAACTGCGAGTTAAATAGACCTTTCCTCTAAGACATCCTCTTTCTCCCTAATTTTAAAATTTTAAAGAAAGACTAAACAAAACAGAAAATGATACATACGTTCAAAGAAGAAAAACCAGTAAGAAATCACTAGTTGATGTTTACGTACTGTCCTCTTACAAATAGTTGCTCAAAATACAAAAGTGGAACATATAAAGTGGGAATTCAAACGGCGAAACTATAAACAGTTCTATTATCCAACAAAAACTTAGTAATATGGTTATCAATTCTATACACTTAAACATACATGCAGTTATCCATATCTTCATTTATGTTGAGATTAAACAAACCAAAGTAGGCTAAAATCATTCTGAACAAAGAATAATAGTATTGCTAGATTTCACACATCATGACACTATGGTATCAGCACTGGGTGTTGTAGTGTCTTTTTTTTTTTTTTAGTTTTGTTTTAAAAAAGACTAAACAAAACAAAATGAGTAGAAATAATACATACTTTCAAAGAAAAAAATAAACAGAAAGAAATCACTAGTTGATGATTACAGATTGTCTTCTTACAAATAGTAATTAAAGATACTAAAATGGAGCTTATACAGTGGGGATTCAAACAGTGAGATTGCAACCAGTTCTGTTCAACTATCCAACAGAAACTTAGAAATATGGCTATCAATCCTATACACTTAACATACTTGCAGTTACCCATCTCTTCAATTATGTTGAGATTGAATAAACCCAAGCAGGCTAATATCACTCTGGAACAAAGAATAATACTATTGCTGGGTTTCACATTATGACA